TGCTGTTGCTAACCAAACTAAAATAATAAACTGTCTTATAAGTAGAAAAGGAAAGCTATGGTTTAAGATGGGACGATGGTTTCATGCACGTTAGTATCTAATTCTAGTTACACATTTGCTTTTGGTATAAATATTATCACACTTAGTGATGGGGATAGGGATGAGAGTGAGTTAGATCGAATCAAGTTTTTGTTCATCTAATTTTTAACTTTTACTGGGTAAGATGTGTACCTAATTAAAAAAGGGTAAACTATACAAATGATCCATCGACTATAGGGCGATACTTTGTTGAGTCCAACGACTATTAAATGTTACAAAATGATCATGAAAAATTAGGGCATTGCTTTGTTGAGTCTCCGACTATTAAAAGTTACAAAATGGTCACCCGACTAATCATATATTCTAAAATCATATATTTTTTGTTAAAAAATACTGTAGTATGATTTGTACGTTAACTTGTTGACTACAATATGATAAAATTTGCTCTCAGGATCTTAAAAAACTATCATATTCCAATCAGTATATTAACGTCTAACTTAGATGACTGTCAATTTTTTAAAGAAAAATGACGAGTTTGGAATGTATGAATTGTCGAGTAACAACTTTGTAATTTTTAATAGTCGGAAGGACTTAACAAAGCAACACCATATAATCGGAGATCATTTGTGTTCTTTAGCCTTAAAAATATAGATAGAGACATAATATAACAATTATCCTTAAATATATTAAGGATAATTATAGTATTACTCAGAGGTTGAATCGATTATCTTTCACCCTAAACTCAAACTCAATCTGATTTGACATTATTCTTAAAAAACCTAAATTTTAACCTTTTTTTAAAGGCTTAATACAAAAAATAAGTACATAAACTTTACCTCGAAAAATGATTTGGTGTCTAAATAATTTTTCGCTAAAAATTGGTGTCTAACGTTTTCTCAATTACAATTTTAAGTCCAACTGTTTTATTTTTTAAAATTTTTAATAATAAAAATATTATTTTTAATGAAAAAAGAATAAAAACTTAATTTATTTACAAAAGAACCCAAACTTTTAATGAAATTATAAAAAATTAAAATATCTCATTTTAATCCGTTACCATGGTGGAACACCGGGGGAACACCGATGGAGCGACCGCGAGGATGAGTTTTGAGCGGAATTGGACGTTGGTTCAAATGGTGGTGATGGCGTGGCATATGGACGTCAAAATGACCAAAATCAACAAAAAATAACGACAGTGGCTTAAAATCTAACAAAACTTCGATCGATTTTCTACGACAAATTGCAGAAGCTTACGTCAAAAGGTTAATATAATGAAGAACAATATGTGGATTATACGTGTTAATAAACAACGTGCATGCATTTGCTCCGTACAATGAAGAACAATATGTGGGGTAGTTCTACTGTAGAGAAGGTTAAAACATAACATTTTTTGTTGCGCGTAACATAAAATATTAATTTTTTTCTTAATATTTTTGGATGTAAATATTCTTTGTAACATTTTAAGTTATAACAAAAAAATATTACTTTTTTATAATATTAAAAAAATTAATATTTTAAGTTACGCAAAACCTAAATTATTATGTTATTTATAATATTTTTGATTTTGTTTTTTCTCCACTTTATATTAAACTGATTTACCGAATAATTCCCCATATTTGAAATCATCATGTATTTATTTTTGCTTTTTTTTCTCTCAGTCTGAAAACTAGTGGTAGAGAATCTTGGAATTAGAGAATATTTTTTTATTAATTATCGTTGAAATAAAATAAATCCAAAGCAGATTCAATTAAACACATGGTCTGTCTGCTCTAAAACCAGGAAATTTCTTGGAATCCTAAATCAATAAGTTTTTATGTATAATATATTTGTTTTTTTAGTAGAGTTTAATTTACTAAAAAAATATAAAGTATTTTTTAAAAAAGTCAACCATAATAATCATACAAGACTCCAACTTGGACAAATCAAGGAGATGACTTAGTTGAATCAAAATGACAACAAAATTCTGAATCCTCAATCATAAGTTTATATGATGTGAAATGGATTAGTTTTAATTACTACATATATTTTATATAAAACAAGTTCAATGAAGAATTTACAGATCGAATTTCATTAAATATTAGTGACATGAGATGATTATATCAAGCAGTCGGATTAAGTCCTAAATTATCTGCTTATAGTATTTAATATAATAATATATTATTAGAGTTTTAGTTCTATTTTTGTTATATGTCATTAACAAATTAATTATAATACTAATGTATTATAGTATGATAATATCACGTCATCATTAAAAGAATAAAAAAATTACTATATTAGTTAATTCTATTTATTTTTTTAATACGAATGATTAAAACAGAATTAAAATATAATATGAAAATATAATTTCAAAGAAAAAAAAGTTAAATGAGAAAATAGAACTACAAAAATACATAAGTGACTAAATACATAATTTAGTGGTGATTTTCCCCAAAAATCACCCTTTCCCACTTTATTTCTCTGTCAGACACCATTTTATCTTTATTTTCCGATCTAACATCCATGGAAGGAAGACACGATCATGCACCGCGCCTTGATGTGGTGCCACGTGTTGAAAGGCAAGACTCATGCACCGCCTTGCTAAACGTGTAAAAAATTGAGTGATACTTTAGTAAATATTTTTAAAATGGTGTCAAATTTGTAATTAATTTCTTTTAGGTGATATTTATGTAAAAACATCAACTTTATTTATTTATTTTTTTGTGTAAAAACATTAAAATCTTTAAATATTATTTTGCAAATTATTTTATAACTTGAATTTTTTTTATTTTTGCATGAAATTACACAATAAGTATAATATAGTATAGAAAAACTTTGAGTATAAGTAATTTAAAATATAAATAATTTTATAAAAGTTTTATGACTAGTATATCAAAATACACAAAATGATTAAGATGCAGCGATAAAGATAAGAAAGCAAATGTTAAAGAATAAGTTGTTTAAGTCAAATTCCACTAAAATTTGCTAAGTTTAACAGGTTACACACACCTAATACGTTACTGCTCATTTACTATCTAGCAGAGGTCTGTGGTAGTAATTTATATTTCTTATATACATGCTTTTATTTGCAAGCTTATTTGATTCCTTAGTTGTAATTAAAAATGAATAAATATTATTAATTGTTGTTAAAATGATAATTAATGAATAATAATTCATTTAATTCATCAATTGTAATTAAAAGTTTATTTTAATATTTTTTTATATTTTTAAACAATTAATTTTAAAAGTCAATAAATTTTAAAAAAATATATGAAATTGATAATTTTTTTTAAATTATAAAATATTTATTATCATCTTCATCATTTTATAAAAGAAATACTAGTTATAAAACTTTTATAAAATTATTCATATTTTAAATTACTTATACTCAAAGTTTTCCTATACTAAATTATACGTATTGTGTAATTTCATGCAAAAATTAAAATTTGTCGAGTTATAAAATAATTTGTAAAAGAATATTTAAAGATTTTAATGCAGAAATTTTTTTTATGCAAACACAAAAAATAAATAAATAAAGTTGTTATTTTTACACAAATATCACTCTAATAGAAATTAATTACATATTTGATATTATTTTAAAAATATCTAAGAATTTAACACTCAATTTTTAATGTAACACGTGTCATAAGGTGTGATGCATTAGTCGCGACTTCTTGCAAAGATTTTTTAGATCGAGAAATAAAGATAAAATGGTGTATGAAATAAAATTTGAAGGGGTGATTTTTTTTCAGGAAAATCGCCTAATTTAGTCCCTGTTTAATGTAATGAGTTAACCGATCCACATCAGAAAGATGTACAGACTTTGGACTTCAAAGTTAGGCTTCGTTTCTGCCTGGAAACTATTTTCTTTTTGAAGTCTTTCTCTCCTTTTCTTCCCCAGCACTTATATGTCTCGGATGTAACCGCCCCTATTGCCTTTTACGAGGAGAACTTCCCCCTGCGATTTCTTTTCTCTTTTCCTTGCAGAAGAAACCTGAACTAAATGCTCCACAGTCGGAACAGAGGAACATCAACCAAAAAGGAATAAATAAGGTGGAAAAAAGAGTGGATTTTCAGTCCCTGAAACTTCACCATCTTCATTCCCTTTTGGTCTACTTTCTAGCTCATAAAAGTTGTAAGTGTTTCTCAACTTTTGTAATATGGGTTTTTCTTTTTTTCTTTTTCATTTTTGATTTTCTCCAAATTATTAACAATGACATTGAGTGACCCCCATTTGTTTGCATTAAAAGGATCACTTTGTTTCATTGCCCGGCCGCTCTGTGGGAACTCTGTTTTCTTTTTCTGACATTTAGTCCCCTCTCAATTTTCCCATCTTCCAAACGTGAGATAATGATCTTATCTTCAGATCTTCGTTAAGTTCCTTTCATTTCACTATCTTCATGTCCTTCAAAAACAACTCATGTGAGATGGCTCAATCATCTTTCGCTTTCCACTTGTTTTTCATGATTGAGTTTCAGCTTTAAATCCATTTCCCCACGGTTTCCCCTCTTTCTCTTGATCTATCCGAAAATCATGCAGTGATGCCGATGTAGACAAAGCTCCCAGAAATTAGTTTCACTTTTGGTTAAGTACAACGTACCAAATAAAATGCCAAACTATTCCCAGATTTTTCTTCCATCTAATCCTCTCTGTAAAGACGGCTAAAAGCTGGAAAGCCTTTTTCTAAAACCCAACGTTTACGGAAAACGATGAACCTGGCCTATTTATCCATCCTCGTTTTCCTTTATACTATAATTGATGTACTATGCTTCCTTTTCTTATAAAATGTTATCTTTTCCGTCTACGTTGCTTCCTTGGAAGCTGCCTCCATTTCACCTGAAACTAGTTCTTTTATATTCCGTTGAATTTCTCCGTTTTTCACTCGCAATATAGATAAATTAATATCCCTCAAGCCTTTTGCTGTCAACTCTGCTTTTCTTTATTGAACAGTTTGTGTATTTAATTCACAAAAAATAATATAATTTCGTGAAATATCTTTGCATTTAAAACTGATGTTTAATCAATGATCTGATATAAAAAAATCCGCCAACTTGTGTTTTGATCTTCATTTTAAATTTCCCGTGTGCTCAGGCGGTTGATCAACAATGAAGACAGATATGAGAAAAAACTACAAGGTACGCGCGCCTTTTCTTTCTTCTCCGATATACACTTCGTCGGATTTTGATTAATGGGTAGCTGAAATTGATTTTTGTTGGCTGTTTTACAGTCTTCGTGGCCTAAATTAATCGCTCGAAAATGGCTGAATATACCGAGTGGAGCTGACGAATTTCAGTCCGACTACGACATGAACGGTAAAATCCCATCCCGAATTTCCGCTGAAAATTTTATTGTCGGACTTCGTTTTGGATTCAAATATCAAGCAATCCATGTTTCTCTTTTTGACAGACGAAACTGATCTAAAGAGTTGCTCTGACCAGGAAAATTTCTCAGGTAAAATATTACTAATCAGTTACTAATCAGGAAAATTTCCGTGAAACAATGAGAAAACTGGGAAAAAGGGATTATCGTATTTCCCAGTGTGATTTCTTTTTGATTGAACGTTCTAATCAGTTGATTTTGATTGATCAAGAGTTTTAATTATATGCCACATGACGGGCAAGATTTGACTTTTGCTGTAGCAAGAACTAAGATTTTACTTTTTATAGAAGGCTGGTCAACGGAAACTGCCAGCGAGATTAGACCGTCGAGAAGTATGCCGGAGCCACCACCTGTCACCGGTTCACTCAACCTCAGGCGAGTTTCTTAAAAACTTTAATTCGCGCTTTTAGAATTTTTGTCAATGATATGCGCTAGAGGATTGAGTTCGAGTGACTGCTGACTACATTTGTAAGATGTGTGTATGCATTATCAGTATTAGCAAATTTTAAATATATATTATCGTGTAATCACGATAAACTATTATAAAATAGTACGGTAAACTAGAACTATTGAAGATGTGTTAAAGATGTTTTTTTTTGGGTTTTCAGGATGTTTGTAGGGACATGGAATGTCGGAGGAAAGTCTCCACACGAGGGTTTGAACATAAGTGATTGGCTAGGCTCGGCTGATATCTACGTTCTTGGGTAAACTCTTTCTTCCATTACTCCAAATTGCTTCATCATTGAAAAATTTTCATTTAGAAAAGCCATCATTGTAGTATTTTGGAATGATTTGATAATCCGGATTTCCTTGAACCTGTTAGGTTCCAGGAAATCGTTCGGCTAAATGCCAGCAACGTGCTTGGAGCCGAGGACAACGAACCGGCTGCCAAATGGCTTTCCCTTATTCGTGAAGCTTTGAATTCCGACCAAAGTGACCAAGAACTTGCTCAACGTGATAGCAATGCCACTGAAGAAAGCAGTCCATCCTTGCTGCACCTTGAGCAGCAAGCAATCCCGAAGCCTAGGATCAGTTTTAGTGATCTACTCTCAATTGAAGATGAACTTGGACAAGAGAATTTCGAAAGATTGCTAAGTTTCAATTCTGATTCGGTCGAGGAAGGCTCTCCTAGCCCGACCTACATGTCTGGCAGTCTGACCCGGCAACGCTTCTGCCTAGCTGCCAGCAAGCAAATGGTAGGGCTTTTCTTGTGCGTATGGGTTCGATCCGATCTTTACAAGCATATCAGCAATCTGAAAGTCTCATGTGTTGGCCGTGGCATCATGGGATATCTTGGAAACAAGGTCAGCAGTTGCACTTATTCTACACTGTTGTTTACATGTCAGTTCTGCAGTTGTATTAACTATTAGCTTCTTTTGAATTATTTGGTAACAGGGTTCGATATCCATTAGCATGACGTTGCACCAAACGACATTTTGCTTCGTTTGTACCCACCTGACTTCCGGGGAGAAAAAAGGGGATGAGATCCGAAGAAATTCTGATGTTGCGGAAGTATTAAAGAGAACAAGATTTTGTCATTCTTTTAGAGATATTGGTCGGCCATTCCCCCCACGGAGCATTTTAGATCATGAGTATGCCCCTTCACTAAAATTATCCATTAACTTTTCACACTTTTTTGTTTGAACTCTCAACGTTTTTTCCTTGTTTGTGTCTGTTCAGTAAGGTTATTTGGTTAGGGGATTTGAACTATCGGCTCGCTCCTGGTTGTGCTGATACACTTGATTTACTGAACAACAATGACTGGCAAGCGCTTCTAGAGAAGGATCAGGTGAGAGGCTAATCTACATAAGATTTTTTTTCCCCTTCAGATAAGATGTCAGATTTGTTTATCTCTTAGCTGTGGCTCGATTGTCATGTGAAATAAAGACAATAGATGATTGACCTTGATTTTCTTCATTGTTTATTTCAAGATCTAAGATGTTACATTTCCCTAATTTCTTGGCAGCTAAGGGTCGAACAAAGGGCGGGTCGGGTGTTTTCCGGATGGGAAGAAGGCAAGATATACTTCGCTCCGACTTACAAATATCTCGCCGACTCTGACGACTATGTCGTCCAAACATATAACTCGAAAGAAAAACGACGAATCCCCGCCTGGTAAGGTTTCACATTTATGTTCTTTTCACCTCAATTTACCAATCCATAGGAATTAAATTAATCCCATGTTGTGCATTCTTTAAGGTTGCTTGTTGGAAGTATCACTCTTAAAAAACTATTCCTGTTAACATTTACAGGATTTGAATATATTTTTGCATTGTTTTGATTACTTGAACTTCTGTTCTTAATTTTGGCAGTTTCCGTTATTTATTAGATTTTTAATAGAACTTGCCGACCCTCAGAACATGACTACAGACTAGTCTTAGTTGTTCATAATTAAATGTCATGCACTATGATTAACCAGTACTATCATCTCCTCGATACAAACAATGTTATGTTGGGGAACACTGATACCATTAGCAAATCAATTTTCAATAAACATAAGGAGCACGTTTCCTATTATTTTAAGGAATCTGATTGTGTAGGCAAAGGGCAGAAAGTTGATTATCATTTGCATCATTAATCTAGTTTAGCTAAGGTTTAAACAAAATTTTCAACTGGTGATGAGATTAATTAAATATCGGTCGGCAAGTGTGGAATTTGTCTTGTTCCTTTGAATAAAATAGTGACCTTAAATAACCGACCATGTTTAATTAAACCTTGTTGCCAATTCATGTGATTGGTGAAACCTTAACCATTGACATATGCAGAGTCTTCATTTAGTTTAATCATTATGAATGTTTCCTTGTTGGTGGCTAAGTAAAATATTATATAAGATGTCAGGAACTTATCCATATGAAGACTTAAGGAATGGTTTGAAAATGAATGCAGGTGCGATAGGATCCTATGGATAGGTGAGGGACTTAAGCAGGTTTGGTACTCGAGAGGAGAGTGTAGGTTCTCGGATCATAGACCGGTTTATTCTCTCTTCTCGGTCGAAATGGACTTATCAAACAAGCAAATACCTACTACTAGATCATGCCCTCCGAGGTTTTCGTCAAAATCTGCCTTGACTTCAGCTTGTGGGGGAAAGGTCCAAGCTGAGGAGCTGTTGGTAGTTCCCAGAGCACAAAGCTCTGCATAAAGACAACTAAAATTCGAAGTTACAGCTGATTCCCAGACCATAAATACTGATATGCTCGTGGTGGACTAACGTGACACTTGTGTTGTCGACGACGACGACCTCGAAGTGATGATGGACAGCAGATGCATTTCCCGGGTCCATGAAATAAAGTGGGTTTGGCGGTCATTCCTGATATTTTTGAGAAAGCAATGATCTCAATGTAAATATGTGCACAAACAGATAAAGCAGCAGCCAGAAGGGGGTTTGAAGCCCATGCTTGTTTTTTGTTCAACTGGAAGAGGGTTTTTTTCAGATTTGTTTTTGTTTCATTTGTATAACAGATGAGAGTACTTGGATTAAAGTGAAAAATGTAAATGAAAAAAAGTAAACGTGTTCGCAGAGAAAGAACTTTGATTAACAATGTTATTAATCAAAGATGTTTGTGACTCTGGATCGTGTTTCATACCCTTTTTTACTTTTAGTGGTGTAAAATTAAAATTAGTCTTTAATATTTATTCAAATGATCATTTTAATCCTTCGATTTTAATCTTGAATATTTTAATTTTCAGTCAAAACAATCTTAACCGAGTCGATAAATGCTCCAATAAGGCATTGAGGAAAATTTTTCTCAGTTAAAGCACCATCCATATAATTATCTTGAGTGGGACGTTTTGAACAGTATCACCAGAAGAAGTTGAGGACAATTGACATGTTTGAAAAAACGATTGGAACACACCACGTCTTCAAGTTCCACCGAATCATCGTGGCTAGCCTCCCTCTCTTCTCCCTCTTAACCGCACATTTTAAATTTAAAGCAACGTAAGAGATGAAGAGTCTGAAGATGTTAGGTACTTCGTCTTCCGGAAGATGCAACATTCGAATAAATATTAAAGATTAAATTTAACGTTATGTATTTTGAGTAGTTTAGGCTCTTATTTTGAGCATGATTTGGATATTTATTTTTATAGTAAGATAAAATTATAATGTTTGATTTTTTTTTTGTAAAATGGAAAAAAATTATTCAAATAAATTTTAAGGGTTAATTTCAAACAATATGTATTTTTTAATTATAATGGGGGAGTGCTCTCTTCTTATCCCACGTTGACGTGTAGGACTTACATGAAATGGACCGACTTTCTTGTTTGGGAAAAAGGATCTTTTGGGTTTTGGAGAAGCCCCATGCGTTACTCCGAAGTACCAATCTTCCATCAACTTAGTTAAAAAGTTTTTTTTTCACAATCCATAAACCCGAAAATTATTTGGCCCAATAGGACACACCGATTTTTATTTTGCAATATACGACAAAAGTTACAGTACATGAAGAACTCATCACCTCCGTTAGATATATTATTTTATTGGTCACAGTTTAGTGAGTCCTATGTAGGCCATTATTTTAATGTATTTAATAGGACTCGTCACGTCGAGGTGAAGAGTCCTTTAAGAAATTATTTTTTAAAATTATTTTTATCAATTAAAATTTTTTCAAAATAAAAAATAATGGAATGAGTGCCCTTGAATTAAAAAAAACTAGTCATTTATAGTCGTTGGGTAAAGGGCAACAACAACAGTCAATTGCCAATGGTCACTATGGAACTCGTCACCTCGAGGAGTCGAGTTTGGTCAGATTTAATTTTAAAAAATATATTAATTAAAAAGTTAAATTAATAATTTTATTACAAAAAAATAATTAAAGACCGTTTACAAACTAATATATACATAATAAAATTTATTTATATTTTCGTAGTTCTTGACGATACCGAAGAGTGGTCGAATGATAATGGACGAGGCTCGTCGAGTACATCGGGGTTGTCCACCTTGATCGTCTTCATCTACATCTTCGTTTACTTCTTGAAGAGGAGTTGTACTAAATATCACTCCACTTTGAGATCCACATTTGAAATACGATGATCAGATGCTTATGGTATTTAACGTCATCATTTCCGTCATTGACTCGACTTGGTTATATTATTGACCACATAAGATATGATCCTTGTAACACCCTAAATTACGAGTTAGTAGTTTCGGATTTACCCGATAGGTAAGTGAACCTCGTGAAATTCATAAGTAAAGTTGCTGGGCTAGATTGGGTTTGGACTTGGGCCCAATTAGCCTTAATAAGAGGGTTTTTGAATAGTGGAAAGATAGAGAATGGCCAAAAGTGTAATTTCCCATTTTTTAAGTTGACGGTTTTTATATCCCATTTTGTCACTTTCTCTTCATTTTCATTTTTTCCTTCTCTTCCACTTTTCTCATTTCTTCCCCAAGAGCCAAAATCAAAGGTAAGACATTTGGGTTATTTCTCACTTCTTTTAAGCTTCATTTTCGTTCATAATCCCTTCATTAAACCTTTATTAATGTTTCAAAGCATTGGGTTTCTCTAGCTAAGGAAAAGTGGGGGGTATCACCCAAATTACTAAGAAAAAGAGTGTAGCTAAGCAAGGAGCTCAAATTCATGGTTCAAACATCAAGGTAGTGTATTCAAACACCAAGAAAAGTGGGGGGTTTGCTAAGATTTGGTGAATTGAGTATTTTAGGGTTTATCTTTGATTTATCAACCAAATCATATTTTAGGTGTTAATAATATGCTTAAATGATTCCTTAAGACAAACTTGCTAAAGCTTTTAAATAAGTTTAGAAACCAACCCATATCATTTGGGGTGATTCTTGAGTGATTTCCGAGCTTAAGCATGTCATTCCAGAAAAAGCATCGATCCCTCGACCAAAGGGATTGATCCCAAAGTTTCTGTCAAGTAAAGGATTGATCCCTTAGAGAAATAATCAGTCACTCGTCAGAAATGATCGATCCCTTAGAGAAAAGGATCGGTCCCTCAACAGAAAGGATCGATCCCTTCTCTGTTTTGCTTGATAAACAAGGATGAATTTGCATTCATTAAAGGTCCTAAGTGTTGTTGAATGTTCTTTTGACCTGTTTGAGGTCTGTAAGATCTAAAGACAATCCGAAGTAGTAAGAATTAATCTGTGAATGACATAAATGACCTAATATACCTAAAAACACTCGTAGGAGTAGGTTACATCGGGTTTAACCATATTAAGCATAATAAACTAAAATATCTTCAATCAAGGACGTATACAAATAGTTGGGATCGAAGATTGTTACAAGAGATATCCGATAGGTGGTACGATGAATACATCAGATTCAGTACTGACAAAAGTATGGGGCTTCGAGAACGTTATTGAATTGGAAATGAATAAGTCATTCCACTACTTCAAGGGTTTTGGGAGAAGTACGATAAGGCGTTAGAAGTGTTGTTACCCAGTAATGAACCCGAGTAAGGTATCGGGCTAACTAGTGATTTAGTCAGTGAACAACGAGCATAATTGGTAGAAAATCATGAAACGCCTAGAGATATCTCTTAAGTCGGAGATGACTAAAATACCCTTTAAGTTCCAATTATCCTTTCCTCAATGTCCTAGGTGAGAGGAAGAACGAGATAATTCAGGTGAGAGAACTTTAGCAAGATCAGTAACGAGTAACTGAGCTACTTTGATTACCTTAGAGGGGCATCGACTAACGTGTGTTAAGACGTTAGCTTTAGAGAAAGACTTACATTAATAATGAGAGAATAATAATTATGTGATAACCATAAAAGCCTTATGAGGTAAGATTCCATAAGACTTATGTCTTTGTATGTCGCTCGGGAAATAGTGAGGACACCCGAGTTACTTTAGTAATAGGACGGTCGTCTTGTGTGCATAGAATATTCCAATATATCCAAGTCAGTGCAAGATGCACTTTAGTCACTAGTTGAACGTGGTACTGATGCTTTATAACCCAAACACGTTCCGAGTACTTAAGATGAGTAGACTAGCCAGGCAAGGTACCGATGCTGTGTGACATGGACCTAGCCTAAGGTTTTGAGAGGTGCCGATGCTATGTGACTCAGACCTCACCTGAGATACTTGGGAGATGATGATGTTATATGACCCAGGTCTACCCAAGGTGCATCTATTAAACAAACATGGGTTTGAGCTACGTGATGTTATGTGACCCCAAGATACACCATAATGTTTACTTATTATTGAGTGATAATTTTGACGTCTATGTGGTATCGGGTACTGTAATTGTGTTTGTCATAGTTATGCACTATAGGATGATAATGAGGTTAGAGACTTAGTACTTGTATACTCATAGCATGGCCCTTAGCGAAGACTAAGAGAAACATGAGACGTAGATTCGAGATATAGAACTGGAGGACCTTACGTAGGTAACTCTGATTGGAATCATGCTTGTACTTATTGCTTTGTATTATGTCTTTAATATGCTTTAGTTTATGGAATTATTATGTTGCTCTAGATTAGCCATTATACTGCTGAAATTTGTAAGCTCAACCTTCAGATGTTTTTCATTGGCAGGTCTGTAGCTTGAGAAATTCGTGGATAACCATCACGTGATACATGACCTCGTCCGCCAAGCATAATCGTATGGTTCCTGCCGCTCGCTGCTGCAATTCTTCCCAATCTTCCTCATCCATCGACGCCGGCTTTGTAGGTCGCAAAGCCTTCAAGATCCCTTGCTGCGCCAATAGATCCTTCACCCTCGTTTGCCATAATCCGAAGTTACCCTGACCATCGAATTTCGCGACTTCAAATTTTGCTCCTGACATCTGATACCAATTGTTGACGAAAACGGGTAAAGAAAACAAAAGAACACGAGAATTTTACGAGGTTCGGCAATGTGCTTACGTCCTCGGTGCCTAGGCGGCGCTAGAAGTTTTTATTCAATGATATTTTAGGTCTAGGTTACATCTCTATTTATAATAGAAAATCATGGTACATAATTACAAAATCAACCCTGTACCGTACCGCGGGAGCTATGCCCCCGCACCCCCAACCCACATAATTCGTAACCCCACAACGAGACTTTTTATGAGCCATACATAAGGCCGGTTAATTCTGGTTCGGTTTATTTGGGTGATGATCGATGTTGCAATATTGTTGGTATTGGTGATGTCAGAATTAAGATGCATGATGGCTCCGTTCGGACGTTGAGTGGTGTTCGACATATCCCAGACTTGAAGAAGAATTTGATTTCCTTGGGCACTTTGCACAAGAATGGTTTTATCCCTAAGGCTGACGAGGATAGGGAAACCATTCGGATTGTTAAAGGAGCATTGACTGTGATGAAAGGCAAGATGACTGCAGGGAATATCTACAGATTGTTAGGGAGTACCATTGCAGGTGGAGTTCACTCTGTTGAGTCCTATGATGATACGACAAAATTGTGGCATATGCGCCTTGCTCATCTTAGTGAACGTGGTATGGCAGAATTACACAAGAGAAACTTGTTGCATGGTGTCAAAAGCTGTAAGCTCGACTTTTGCAAGTATTGTGTTCTTGGTAAACAGACTAAAGTCCGTTTCAAGACTGCGAAGCACACAACTCAAGGGATTCTTGATTATGTGC